TTGTTTTTAATGTTAAGTAGTTTTTTTTTCATAAAAATGTAAATAATGTCCGAAAAACTTAGAAACTTTTTCTTTAAAATGTTAATATTTCAAATGTAAACCCATGGTGGCCATGTTTTTTAGTTCACTTTGTTATCACTAGTGTCACATTGCAATTTTAAATCCCGAATAATTTAATTTTCTATGTGCTTGAAGCTCTAAACTTTTTCTTTTTCAGGTCAATAAATTTATTAAAAATTACTACAACAATGAAAAATAAAAAAGTACATATTAAATATTTAATAAATTATTATTAATTAATTTTAAAAAAAATTATTTCGTTTTATTTGAAATGAAATAATTTCATTATTTCATGATATAATTTCATTTCATAATTTTACTTGACTGTTATAAAATAAATATTTATTTGTATTAAACAATTATTATTTGAGTCAATTATTTGTGTTTGTTAATATCTCTATATTTATTTTAAATACAGAAATATTATTGATTCAAATGCAGTTTATTAAATTCAAATAAAAATTATTTGGTTCAAGTTAATATTTATTTGATAATAATCAAGTAACCAATTATTATTTGAATCAAATAAAATCTTTTTCAATATATATATATATATAGTAAATAAAATTAAATAAAATTTTAGCCAAAGCATATACATATAAATTTGCGAATCCTATAACAGTAAATTTATTATTAAACTATTTTTAATAAGATAAAAATAAACTCATCTGTATAGCTATTAATAAATAAATTAAAAAAAATCCCGATATAATCAAGGAAGCTCTTATTCTTTGCGCGCGAGGTCACGTGAAAGAATGTTATGTTCAACCTTTTAGAACGACAATAAATAAAAGCTAGGAGCCTCACGTCACGAAAGCAACTCCCACACGTTTACAAAAAAGCGCTAGGAATTTCACTTTGCAAAATACAAATCAGTCCACGATAATTATTGGTCATTTAATATAAATTATTGCCGAATATGGTGATTATTATTTGCTTCCTGTCATGTTTTATTGCTGCGCATTTGCCAATAACTTTTTTTCTCTCTCCCGCAGCTATATGTTTAAAATTTCAAAAGCACATCTTTGGTGTTTCGACTAAAGACATCCTTAATATTTAAGATGATTATTAGTCAAGAGATGACTTTGAGTGATATGAGATCTACATCTTCACACGTAAATCTTTTTTGTGCAAAATAAAAAAAAAAAACTGAAATAAAACGGATATTACACATTATATGTATATATAGAAAAACAAGATTAAAAATCTCATCAATTTTTGAAAGAAATTTTTTTCTTTTTACATCATAATATATATAGAACAGCAATATAAATATCACTGTTGTCTTTTATTTTTAATGTTATTCTGTTATTTTTATATTAATAATAATTTTTGAAATATTTTTAAATAAATTAAAAAAAAAAATTATGTAATGTTAATATTGTAATATTTAATTATTTCATTTACATTTTTTTGCATGAACCTAAATTTATGATTCACGATTAGATACATAGTTATTCTTATCACATGAATATTTCTTTGTGAACCAATTTCATTGTAAGTAAATATTTACATTTATATATAATTCGATTAAATTAGGCAAATTTGTTTTCTCAGTTGACATTGAATTAATACTCTAATTTACTGTTCATAATCATTTCTTTTCTCGATTTTAAATTAACTCATATCATTAAAATATTCGAAATTAATCGAAAACAGTTTAAATATTATATAATTTAAATTTGACATTAAATTATTTCAATTTTTTCCTCTTGATATGTATAACATTTTTTAAAATAATTTATTAATTATAGTTTATATATGTAAATAATATAGTGTTTTACTTATTTTTTTTCCGCAATATTGAAAATATTGGTAAATTCAATTTAAATATTTGTTAATTTTTTTTTTTTATTTTTTCAATACTCCCACTGAGAATATGATATATATAACTTTAAATCAAAATCGAATCTCGCAGTATGATTATAATCCAAATATGAAAATTATGCTTATAGAGTCAATTTTTTTATTTTTGAAAAATAAGATAACATAAGTAACTTAAATTATGTAAAATCATACATAATTATTTTTAGAAACATAAAATGTCGAATTAAGAATCGATTATTTTTTTCTCTTCCTAAATATATGTATCTCAACGTTGCTTTAAATTTTAATAAATAAATAATACGACATAAACCTATTTGTTTGCGTCATATTTTGTCTTTCATCCATGGGTCGAATTTGAATTTTTTCAATTTTAATTTTTTGTATAAAAATTAAAATTTCCTTGTGACAACATTAATCAAAAAACAAAATTGTGTAATTTTGAAATATTTAGAGAGAAATAGATATAAAAAAAACAATTTTTCGAAAATTAAGTTTTATTCTGAAAAAAAATGTATTTTTTCTTGTTAATATTTTCGAAATTAAAACACCCGGACAATTTTGATATTTATATCCGCTAGATCCGAGTATAAAAAAATTGTTTTTTCTGTTCAATTTATATTTGATATTGATAAAAAAATAATGGAGATAATTAACCTTAGTTTTATATATCTTTTTATACATTAGTGACATTTAATACATTTGTTTTTATATGATTAAAAATTATTAGAGTGGTTTTTGTCCGACTTTTTTTTTCGAGACTGTAAAATATCAAGTGCACCATTTTTTAGAAAGTCGAGATATTATAATGGATGGCTCGATTACTAATTTCCTCGCACATTATTCCCATTTCTTTTTTTCTCATCTCACAAATTTATTTCGGAAATTCGTTTCATAATTATATAAATATACGATAAGTTTAAATATTTTTATTTTTTACTCTTTTTTTTAATAATACAGAAAAAAGTTAGACTGAAATAAAATAATTCTCGTACGATACTAATTTTTAGATAAAAAGGTTTAAGGTAAAAAGTTTAATTTTTAAAATTTTAAGATTAAAGTAAAAGTTATCATGGAAAAATAAATAATTATATCTTAAACAAAATAAATAATAACTAAAGTAATAATTATTTTCAATAAACAGGGACGGACCGATGTACATTTTCTATCCGGGCAAAATACATTTTTGTGCACCCCTCCTCTTTTATTTTAATGTTAAATATAATATAAAAAATTAATTGTGTATATAATGAAATATAGTGTATACTGAAAAAACAAAAAAAACTTCCTATTACATATATTTTTTACTTATCTAAAAGCTTTTGACGAACACAGTTTTGCTCATGATAAAATGATACAATTGCAAGCTACAAATATGTAGCAGCATTATTCTAAATTAAATAGGCTCATTAAATTAACAATATGTAATTAAGTATTTTTCAGGTAAAAATGTAATTAAATTTAATTAACCTCTGATGATTCAAGCGATTTTTGATTTGTAACATTGAATAATGAATAACTCTGGGTGTTTTCGACGTCGACGCTCTGAGTGTTCTGAAAGTGTTAAGTGGTTCTCAACCAATATTAAAAATTAATGATTAAACGAACTTACAAGTGAAGTTCGATCATAATTATATGAATTACTTGTTCGAAGATACTTAGTTACTTGTAGTACCGCAACTTGTTGCCAGATGACGCCACCTTTTAGAGATAGAAGCGAAAAAGTCGGATGCTCTACCCTCTCCTTCTATCTTTGCCCCTTGACTTCATTTAGTTCAGAGTGTTATGAAATTTAAAAAAGGGGTTGGGTTTAGTTATTTTTATAACTATCTTAAAGAATAAAAAATTATTTTGTTATCTTTATATTTACCTATTTTATTTTTAGTTATTTATCTTTATTTTATTTATCTATTATTATTTATTTATTTTTAATTAGGGTGGGAAATTAGTATCTTCGAACAAGTAATTCATATAATTATGATCGAACTTCACTTGTAAGTTCGTTTAATCATTAATTATATTTCATTCTACTTGTTCGAAGATACTTAGTTACTTGTAGATGTTTAGAGAAAAAAATTTTTAAGAATATAAAAAATTTTATTAATTAATCAAACATTCTTACAATCTTAGCTTATAATATTACTGTTTAAACTTTGATTCTAACAGTCTTTTTCATTTTAAACGATTAAATTAACATTTTTTTTTTTTTTTTTACAGAAATTAAGACAAAACCGTATTGCTAAAATTCTTCTCTGAGCAGGCTACTGGTCTGTTATAAAATTTACTAAAAACTTTCGAGGATTCAGACCATCCTGCGGCCTTTTTAATACTATTAATATCAAGTCCTTTGGCTAAGGCTCTGGAGGTTGAAGCGTGCCTAGTGCTATGAGCCTTAAATTCTTTCTCCAGGCCTGACCTATTCATCACAAACTTTAACCAGCGGCTAATAGTTTGTGTACCTACTTCCTTATGAGGCTTTTTAAAAGAAATTAAAAGTTGCTCTGCTTGACCTCTCAGGTTTTTGGTTTCCTTTATATAATGTAATAAAATTCTGGCCAAACATAAATCACGATCATTAAAGTAAGGAAAAAATGCATATGGTTGCTCAGCACCGGGTTTGGAAGTTTTTACCAACTTAGAAACTCTGATTTCTACTCCGCCAGTGAGAGTTTTAATATTGTCCAAACTGATTAAAGATAGGGTTTGAACCCTGAAAGCTGAGCCCAATGCTAACAGCATTACTAATTTTAATGTTAGAGTTTGCAAATCTAAAGTATCCGTAGGACTCCATTCCTTTAACTTAATTAAAACCTTGTCTACGTCCCATGTTGAGTCGTATCTGGGGATTGTTGGACGAAGCTTGAATACTCCTCGAAAAAAGCGGTTAATGAGTTGGCTATCCTTATTTTCGTATATATTAATCAGATTAATTGCTGATCTTAAGGAATTTAAAGTTCCGTAATTAGCTCTCTCGTTGAATTTTTTCGTTAAGCACCTGAGAATAATTTTTTCATTAGCGTGAAAAGGGTCCTGCTTTTCCAGCATGCAAAAATTCCACCAATAGTTCAGTGCTGTATTATATTGTTTTTTCGTACCTGGAGCCAAGGATGCCAACATTATTTCGATTGTGTCTTCGTCCAAGTTCTTTTTCTGGAAAGCCTCCCGGATACAATTCCCGAAACCAGGATAAGATCTGCTGCTAGCGGATGAGTGAGTGTCCTGCAAGGAGAAAGTAACAAATTATTACTTGGATTGAATTCAATTAATTCGGAAATAAGTAATTGTTTAAAAATTGGAAACCAAGGTTGCCCTGTCCAAAATGGTACAACTAAAATGCCTTGAGAACCCTCTTCCCGGATCTTTTTTAAAATTCTGCTTATTAAAGCGAATGGAGGAAAGGCATACCAAAAATCATTTTTCCAGGAGATCGTAAACGCGTTAATTGCTAGGGCATCAGGGTCTCGGTCCCATGAGCAGTATCTAGCGCATTTTTTGTTAATTCGAGAAGCGAATAAATCAATAGATGGGTTTCCTAGTTTTTTGACTAACAACTTAAAAGCAAAATCGGATAATTCCCACTCAGTATCCGGATTTGAAATTCTGGACCCTTCATCGGCTGGATTTTCTTTGGATGCAATATATTCAGCGAATAACCAAATTTCTCGAGTTTTACTCCATTCCCAAATTCTTTTTGACATTATGTGCAAGTCCCTATGTTTAATTCCTCCCATTTTGTTAATATAAGCCAATGCCGTGAGATTGTCTATTCTTAAGAGGATCTGTTTGTTAAAAAGTGAAGAGGCAAAACATTTTAACGCTAAAAATGCTGCTTTGATTTCGAGATAATTAATGTGCATCATTCTTTCTTCCTTACTCCATAAACCCCTGGCCTTCTCATTTCCACAAGTGGCTCCCCAGCCAGACTTGGATGCATCGGAAAATATCTCGAGATCAAAAGTGCTAGTTCTAATTTTGTTTTTAGTTACAAAAATCTGAGAGTCCCACCATTTTAAATCACTAATTGCACTGTCCGATAAATTTGTAATCTTATTAGGGTTATTGTCAAAAAGATTTAGCGCTTTTCTTTTAACTAACTCGAGTTCCTTATAATACAACCAGCCATAAGCCACGGCAGGACAAGCTGCGACCAAGACACCTATGCTTTCAGCTAAATTTTGAATTTTTATTTTCCTGTCTGATAACAGCCTGGACAACATGTTTTTAATCTTTTGTCGTTTTTCTATGGGTAATTCCAAAGTCATATCGACCGAATTAATAATCATACCCAGGAAAATACAAGATCTTTTTGGAATCAAGTCGCTTTTTTCCCAATTGATGAGTAGACCGAGAAAGGATAATAATTCAATTAATTGATTTGTGTTTTCTATACATTCCTGTCTAGATTTACCAAAAATTAGAAAATCATCGAGATAAGCTACAATTCTAATCCCTCTTTGTCTCATCAAATTCAAAATTGGTTTAACTAATTTTGTAAAAACAAACGGAGCGGAAGTTAAGCCAAACGGAAGCGCATTAAATTGATATAAGATACCTCGATATCTAAACTTGAGATATTTCTTGTGATCCTCGTGAATCGGCACAAGTAAATATGCATCCTTCAGGTCTAATCTACACAAAAAATCACCCTCGTCAAGTAAATTGACAGCTGTTCGGATGTCCTCAATTTTAAAATGCTCTTTTTTGATAAAAAAATTTAGCCCTTTTAAATTTAATATGAACCTGTGAGATCCGTCTGGCTTATCTACCAAAAAATACGGGGACAAAAATTGATCAACCTCCTTTTTGCATTTTTGTATGGCACCGGAATTTTCTAATTTTTCGATTGAAATGTCCAAACTATTATTTGGACTTAGAGAATGAAGTTCATCATTTTGAAAAACTATTTGTTCAAAATTTAGCCGGTAACCTTTAATGATTCCCAAAACAAAAGTATCTTGAGTGATTTGTGACCAATTTTTAAAAAAATATTTTAATCTAGCAGCAGAACTTACTTTGTCGATTACTTCCTGCTTCTCTGTGGTTGAGATTGGGAGTAATATTTCTTTGCCGGATTTTTCTGGCTGCCGGAACTGCTCTGTTGATTCCTGGAGGTGCTGTATCGCTGGTTGTAGTTTGAGCTCCCCCGATTTCCCTCCTTTTTGATCGTGGGGCTGCGCCAGTTTAAAGACCTGCTCGGCGGGTTTTTAAAAGTTGGTTTGGATTTCGGTTTTAGCTCCTTAGAGACTTTTTCCATAGCTTTTGAAGTCTCTATTAGAGCTTTTAGATTGTCGCCGAATAAGAGAGTAGTGGGTTCGACATTTCTGAGAATTTTTTGAATTCTCTCTTCGTATCTGCCGAGAAGGAAAGTTTTGCGAGCGAGTGTCAAAGCAGAGTATAATTCTGATAACAATTTTAAAGAGTTCGAGAGATTTTTTAAAACTTCATCGTGATCGAGATGAACCTTCGCATCGTCAAGAATAGCACTGAAAACTGATGCACATCCTGATAAGGCTGCTCCTGTTAGGTTTTGATAACCTTTGAAGTAATCATCTCTTGCTAAAACTCTCGGAAGAACGTCGACAGTAACCTCATCGTTAAGCGCAGGCGCTATTAAATTTAATGCTCCCTTTCGTGGAACTGATGCTATCAAATTTTCTTTTACTTCTTTTTTTCCGATTCCGTCCTTAATCCAGGCTTTAATTCTGTTTGAAATGTCCTCTCTTAGCTTCAGTTCCTCTGGTGATTTGACGGGTTCACTTCCCAAGAACAATTCAACCTCATTTTCTGACTCGCTTTCCTCCATTGGCGATTCAACTCCGTCCGCCATATTTTGTTGGTCGTGTTGCAACACGTCTGAAGGGGAAAATGAAAATTCGTTTATTTTATGAAAAGAGTTATAAGAGTCAGAAAATAATTTGCATTCCGTCCTTAATTCATGATTAAGGATCAGAGTTTTATTTTGACCCACGGCAACAGTTCCAGACTGAAGCTCGGTCTTTTTGTCAGGAGAACTTGTCTGTGACCTGGATCTGAATTCTAAAAAATTACCTTCGTAAGCTAATTCCTCTCCGGATTCCTCCATTTCCGCTAACTCTCCATATACAGCATTCATCTGTTTCTCTAATTCCCTCAATTGTTGCTGTTTTTGTTCCCTCGATGTTCCTGCGTCCGCGTTCATCTTGAAAAAGTTTTTAAAACAAGTGGTCGTCACCAACGCCAAGAAACGAATGAAGTCAAGGGGCAAAGATAGAAGGAGAGGGTAGAGCATCCGACTTTTTCGCTTCTATCTCTAAAAGGTGGCGTCATCTGGCAACAAGTTGCGGTACTACAAGTAACTAAGTATCTTCGAACAAGTAGAATGAAATATAATTATGATTAGCCATAACTTATTATGATTGGCTAAAGCATGCTAAAAGTGACATGTTTGTGATACGAGCTGCAGTTTTAGGTGATGTGCACAAAAAAGGGTGTGTTATTTGCATGCTTTATTTGAAATTGGATGCGTTCCGGCTGTGCTCGTGCTCTGGTTTCTCAATCTTGTTTAATAAACCGAGCGTATTTTCTGAGTGCGAAAGTAAATAACGGAAAATTTTCAAAAATGGCAAATTTAAACCCTGAAGTCAATTACGTTAACGCTATAGGAATTGTACAAAATCTTGTTGAAATATAAATAAAATAAATAATAAATAAAATAAATAAAATAAATAAAATAAATAAAATAAATAAAATAAATAAAATAAATAAAATAAATAAAATAAATAAAATAAATAAAATAAATAAAATAAATAAAATAAATAAAATAAATAAAATAAATAAAATAAATAAAATAAATAAAATAAATAAAATAAATAAAATAAATAAAATAAATAAAATAAATAAAATAAATAAAATAAATAAAATAAATAAAATAAATAAAATAAATAAAGTAAATAAAATAAATAAAATAAATAAAATAAATAAAATAACTAAAATAAATAAAATAAATAAAATAAATAAAATAAATAAAGTAAATAAAATAAATAAAATAAATAAAATAAATAAAATAAATAAAATAAATAAAATAAATAAAATAAATAAAATAAATAAAATAAATAAAATAAATAAATAAAAAATATAAATATTACATTAAAATTAATACTTACTCGTATCAACGTTCGTTACGTCGCATAACATGCGACCATTATTCTTGAATAATGTTTTATTGTTCTTTAAAACTAAACCATTTAAAATTATTCTTTCCTCCATGATGCAACAGCGTGGTCTTTACCGGTCTTGAAAGCGTAATGAGAAAATTGCATTGGATTAGGTTAGGTTAAATTAGGTTAAATACACTAAAATAATAAAATGCGGTTGAGAACCTTTTCGAGCGCTCAGAGTGCCAACGTCGAAAATACCCTATGGCTAGAACCAACTTGAAAAAAATACGTTTGAAAGCAGAAGTTTGCATTTGCAACTCTGCAGTTTCTTGCAATTTTCTTTTTCTGTAGTAGGACCCAGAATGCTTTTTATTTTCTGACATATCTTATTACGAAACAGTTCTTTTAAAAATATCAAACAAAATCAATACTTGAAACAATTCGAATTCTATTAACTGTCAACGCTGTCAACAGTCATGTTAAGTTGGAATCCAATGTATTTCAGGGTTGCGTGACATTAATAAATTCAGAAGCTCAAGTCAGGGTACGGACACAATTTACATAGGATGGTTTCTATTGTCTCCACTCGTCAAACTTTGGCGATGTAAATTGTGTCCGTATCTTGACTTGAGCTTCTCAATTTATTAATGTTACGTAACCCTGAAATACATTGGATTCCAACTTAGGGTACGGTCACACGACTTTTGGAAAAACCATTCTTGTTTTTCTCTCTCCTAAGACAGACGCATAAGTTTGTCTCACTCTGCATTTTACGTCTTTGGGAAATGTAAGAAAATGCAGAGTGAGACAATCTTATGCCTCTGTCTTAGGAGAGAGAAAGACAAGAATGGTTTTTCCAAAAGTCGTGTGTGACCGTACCTTTAACATGACCGGCCAAAGTCCCCTCAAAAGTTACTAAATTTTTACTACCCTATTGAAAATCCCCACATGGGAAACCACATGGGATCCTATGTCAAAAACTATGTAAAACCCCATTCCCCATATGGGAAACCACATGGGATCCCATATAAAAACTCATGGGAAATTGGGACAGGAATTGGCATAGGAAAATATCAAAACGAGGTTCCTCCATGTCATTTCCTATGTCAAATCCCATGTCAAATATCATGTTAAATACCATGTTAAATACTAATTGAGATCCTTTATCACTTTTTTGAAAAATTTTCCCATGTCAAACCCCATGTCATTTCCCAAGTAAAAACCTTTATCATTTTTTTGAAGTATTATTATTTGATATTTAATCAAATAATTAATTTTTTTTGTAAACTGCCGCCTGCATAAAGCAGCCAACTAAAAAATTCCCGAATAAAATCCTATATCGTTTCCTATATGTAAATCCATGTGAAATCTTAGGTTGAAATTTCAAAATCTATATGAAATCTTATATGATTTCCTATGCTTAAATCTATTTGTTTTATCATTTGGAAGAATGCACATGAAATCGTATTCCATTTCCCATAGGGATTCCAATATGGTGTCCCATGTGGATTCCCATATGCTTTCCTATGTGGGTATTTTCGATAAGGCGAAAGAGGATTTGACATGGGAAAATTTTTCAAAAAAATGATAAAAGATTTCACATGGGAAATGACATTGGAAAATTTATCAAAAAAATGATAAAGGTTTTTACTTGGGAAATGACATGGGGTTTGACATGGGAAAATTTTTCAAAAAAGTGATAAAGGATCTCAATTAGTATTTAACATGGTATTTAACATGATATTTGACATGGGATTTGACATAGGAAATGACATGGAGGAACCTCGTTTTGATATTTTCCTATGCCAATTCCTGTCCCAATTTCCCATGAGTTTTTATATGGGATCCCATGTGGTTTCCCATATGGGGAATGGGGTTTTACATAGTTTTTGACATAGGATCCCATGTGGTTTCCCATGTGGTTTCCCATGTGGGGATTTTCAATAGGGTAGAGCAGGGTGCGGTAGTTGACGAGAATTATGACAAATGGCGAGTGGGGAAGAAAAATTAGAAAAGCTGTTGAAAAAATGTAAAAAAAATTTTTGCATTATAAAAATTTTGGCCACATGCGCAAGATAAAAAAAATTTTGAAAAAAATGGGGGTAATGACCCCAATAAACTTAAAGGGTAACTTGAATCTAATTTTTTTTTTAAATTTCAAAATTTTGTTTATCTTGCGCATATGGTTTTCGGAGACTTTACTCCCACTTTACTCAAAATCCTGATGTGTTACGCAATTTTGGAATCTGGGATCGTGTTCAGCACACAAAAATACATTGGAAACCACCATATATCAAAAGAAAAAAAAATCTTGTAGACCTGTGTCCTTTCTTAAATCCTTTATTTAAAAAGACAGTGCATGCAAAGCACATGAAAATCACCTTAAATTATTGTTCCACATATATATTTTGCATAACTTATTTAATTGCAATAAATATACACTTGCAAAGCATTTATTTGTTGTAAATGATTGCAGCTGTTATGAATCAGAAACGAACATAACCTAAATGTAGTTGAAATCACCTTAGGGTAGGGTCACACTATCACAATCATGCACTGTGCATGCATGCAGAAACATTTAGCTGGTCACACTTCAACGAAATCTAGTGAATGTTTAGTAACTTTCTAGTAATTTTCCAAAAATTTCGGTTGTAACTAGAAAGTTACTAAACATTCACTAGATTTTGTTGAAGTGTGACCAGTCAAATGTTTCTGCATGCATGAGATAGTGTGACCGTACCCTTACTGGCCCAAGATAAAATAACGCGCGCTTTTTAAAAATAATAAAATTTATTAAATTATAATAAAATAATTGTTAATAAAATAAATTATTACAAAAATAATATTACCTTGAATAAAAAAAAAATTTTCAGTTTACAAAAAAAATTATTCAACAATTATTATTATTTTCAAACTAATTTTACAAATATAATAGATTATTATTTTTCTGTTTGAAACTTTTTCTATAATTACATGCCATTTTGCATTTTATCAACAATATTATTAAATATTTAATAAAATAATTGTAATAAATTATGAAACATAAATTGAAAATTAAATTGAATAGACAAAGAATAGAAGTAACGGAGACAGCCAAAGGCCATCGGAGGTGCTATTTATTGAAATAAAGTTAGACATTTTATTCTACCAGAATAAGATACATAAATAAATAAAAAAAATTAATACAAAGGACCCCGCACTAAATACACAGAAAATAGCTTACGGTTAAATTTGGCTATATTTTGAGAATTTTTAGTTGACAGTGTCCTGATTGAAAAAAAATTGTCCGGAAGTCACTGAATAAATAGTTTAGCTAAAAAAAAAATGTCGAATCAACGAACTTGCGTATCTAAGTGGGCAAATCACTTGTTCGAAAGTCTTTGTTTCATCGAATATTATAAAAAACTATTATTAAAAAAATTAATTCAGTGACCTCCGGACAATTTTTTTTCAATCAGGACACTTTCAACTAAAAATTCTCAAAATATAGCCTAAAATTAAATCGTAAGCCATTTTCTGTGTATTTAGTGCGGAGTCCTTTCTAAATAATAAAAATTATAAATTTCTTACAATAATAAACAAAGTCGTATCTACAAAGTATTTTATATATACTTTCTAAATAACTTTCTATACATACTAGCAAAAACAAAAATGGTTTTTGAGAATAATTCTTGAAGATGATGATAATAAAAAAAAGACGTAATTCAAGGTAAATTGTCATTATTTGCGTTGGTTTTTTTTTACAACTAGCTGGGCAATTCTGTGAAATTAATTTGTGTCCGACAAAGTAATTAGTGGTTGTATTTATGTGCCCCAACAAGTGGTGATCTTCGTTAAGTTGCTAATGGTGCGCTGTATTACCGTAAACACGAGTGTTACGAGAGAGGAGGGAGGGAGACCTTTGGAGACGAGTCGATAAGTCTCACGCGGCAAAAAGATCGCGACCACTCGCAGTCCTTACTTCTTTGAGATGGATTTTATCCTCATTTAGCTTCACTCATGTTATGTTGTATATGTTTGACCGTGGAACGTGGCTTTCCACTGTAAACATCCACATCCATAATGAAGCGCGTATTCTTTGTGAAAAACGTTTTATATTATTATTACTCTCATAATCATGTATAACGTGACGCTTCACGAAAAAAGGGACCTTAGAAGCAAACAATTTTAGGTTATATTGTTTATTTTTAATTATGTAAAATCAAAATCGATTTTTAGTCAATTATCTTTTTGTAGCAGCATCACTTTAAAAAACACAAACATAACCGACAATTTGTTTACAGCTAAGGTCCGTTTCACCGTGGAGCATCACGTTGGCTGTTTTCGGCGTTCACCCTGGGTTAACCCAGAGTTAACGATGGTCCAATCATCATTAACATTCTGTTAGATCTACCAATCACAATTAACTCAGAGTTAACCAAGGGCGGACGCCGAAAACAGCCATATTTATAAAGGAGAGTAGGCCGTCGGGTTAGCGCAATAAGGTGCCTATTCAGAAAACAAAGCAAGAACGTCCCAATTCAGAAACAGAAGCAAAAAGGTGCCTATTCAGAAAAAGAGGCAAGAACGTCCCAACTCAGAAGTCATATTTTCCTGTCAATTTTTCAGTTGGCAACACTGTCAATAATTCAATATTGACATTCATACAAGCCACAATTATAATTCTGTACAATTTACCGAATAAGATCCAATTGAACATTTTCAAATCACATTTTACCTATTGCTTCCTCATGGAGGAAGCTTTGTTTTCGTGAAATTTTTGGAATTTGATTTTTTGATGTATTTTTATGTTTTGCGACCTCAGGAGTCCAAAAATCACATTTTTAAAAAATGTCATTCCGTGTGTGTGTGTGTGTGTGTGTGTGGACGAAAATGTGATGTTTATACACACACACACACACACGGAATGACATTTTTTAAAAATGTGATTTTTGGACTCCTGAAGTCGCAAAACATAAAAATACATCAAAAAATCAAAATCCAAAAATTTCACGAAAACAAAGCTTCCTCCATGAGGAAGCAATAGGTAAAATGTCATTTGAAAATGTTCAATTGGATCTTATTCGGTAAATTGTACAGAATTATAATTGTGGCTTGTTTGAATGTCAATATTGAATTATTGACAGTGTTGCCAACTGAAAAATTGACAGGAAAATATGACTTCTGAGTTGGGACGTTCTTGCCTCTTTTTCTGAATAGGCACCTTTTTGCTTCTGTTTCTGAATTGGGACGTTCTTGCTTTGTTTTCTGAATAGGCACCTTATTGCGCTAACCCGACGAGGCGATCTAACATAACCTCAAACTAAAAAATAATTTTTAATGGAAACAATAATATTGAAAATATATATATATATACTGTTTTCGAACTATAATAATCTAAGAGAATAATATTATAAATATTGAGTTCTTTATTAAATTAATTGGAAAATAATTTGTTTTTGTCACAGAAGAATCAGTGGAATTAGGGGCCACTCAATTGATGGAATGTCAACGAGGATGTAAATAGTTTGCAAAAAAAGAAAAATAGGTTGTAAGGTTTTTGATAGAGTTAGGGAAAAAATGAGGGAGATTCTGTGGAAGATGAGAACTCAACGAAGAGAGAGGAAAATGTTACCACAAAGTAAATAAACAAGATCGGATGGACGTGGGCGAATTGTCGAACGTGGCTGGATTGGCTGGAACTGGCAACCACTGTTCACCAGGAGTTGGTACTACTGGCTGGTGGACATCTCCTCCAACAATTGCAACGACCCCGGCCAATACTGACGTGGTGAGTCGTCTTTTTTTTTTTTTTTTTTTTTTTAAATTTTTTCTTTTTACGTCTGCATTTTTTTTTTCAAAGTAAGCTTATTTGGCAACCTTGCACCAACCTTGCTACAAGTTTACCGTGCAAGCTTACTGAGCAATCATGCAATAATCTTATTGTGCAATCTTGCAGTAATCTTACACTGCAATCTTTCGGTAAGCTTACCATGCAAGCTTGGGTCAGGTGGGACATTTGAAGCTTGCAGTAAGCTTGTGGTAAGTTTGCCATGCAAGGTTGGCAAAATTGCGCGGCAACCTTGCCGCAAGGTTGCTGCAAGCTTACGTGCTATCTGGGAAGGTTAAATTTTTACGTTAAACTAAGATTTCCAATACTTATAATTTGTTTTTAAAATTGGGAAAACATTTGAATTGGGGTTCAACTTGAATTGAATGTGTGAAGTCTTCGTTGTGGGTTGTCAGAATCAGCTGCTTTGATCTAATTTACACTAACACATTTAATTAACACCCTTTATATCATTGCTACTAGATCGCATCACCTGGTTTAAAAATATTGCAAACTCACCGTTTTGCTCCATATGTTGCCCTAAAAATTTTTTATACAAAAAGTGAATATTTTATAATAAATTTTGAATTTAAATTAGTAAACAAATTTTTTGTTCATATAAACGTTCAGAAGTTAAAGAAGATTTTTTTTACATTGATTTAAAATATAAAGATAAAATAGTAAAATCGGTTTTTTTATTTGGAACTTTTAAAATTCTATTGCAATTTTAAATATGATAATGCAATAATAAGTTAATGTATAAATGTTTTAAGGAAGTGTTTAAGAGATTTAATTTTAAGACCTGTACAACACTCTAAATATAATATTTAATTAAATCTCACACGAGAGACCTATTATTTTAAAGACCTTGACCTTTGTATATATATATATATATATATATATATATAGTTCTTTGACAGTACTTTGCTTGGAAATATTATGTTAATTATTTATATAGAGGCACTTAACTCACATGCGAATGAGTAATTAATGTCTTGTTAAGAATTATAATTATTATTTGCTGTGTATTGTTCATTCAGATATTACTTACGTTAACTATAGTAAACTTTATATAGACAATCTTGATGCACAATGGAATGCAATAAATAATATTAAAAAAAAAATGTTTTTTCACATTTGTCATTTAATTGCATTTCACTTATAATTAGTGAAATTTAATGACTTTTGGATTCATTTATTTACAATTTTTTCCTAAAACTATTTTTCTAAGTTAAAAGTATATAATTAAAATTAATTATAAAATTAAATAAAGTGTTTAAATTTTATTATTATTTAACGAACATTTTTTAAGTTTCTTTATCAAGTAATATTATCGAATAATTTGAATGCTTTTATTTTTTTTTTTTTTTAATAATTTCTAGTTCGCTTTTAGATTTTTGAGTTAAAATTTATATAATAAATTGCTGTCTCATATAGCAAACACGCTTTAGATATTTGAAATTCAATCTCCAACAGTGTTTCCCACAATTATTAAACACTCTAAGAACATATCAAGCCGTTATGATCCCGAAATGTGTTTTAAGCGCAGAAAATCTTGTTATATATGCTTTTACGAGCCAGTATATTCCAAGGATCACGCTTGCACTTGAAACATTTACAAATTCTCATTCCTAATGCAATCCACCTTGGTAAGGATGGGAACTTTCAACCATCATCTTTGTTAATCGCATCTGTGTGGGACTTAAGTTTATGATTCTTAAACCCATGTCCACTTGCCGTTATTTCTTGCTTTCAATCCTCGCGCTCTTTCTCAGAGTCGCGTAGATTATAAGGGAGGTCAATATAGTTTTGCGTTTAAAATATAAAAATCCCTTTTGAAATCTTGCAACATGCGAACAATAAGGAAACGAAGAAAAACTACGCATTTCAAATGAAATAATATATACATCTTTTGCCCTCACTGTGGAATATGAAGTATCTTCTTCTCATAAAGTCTTTCATCAGTGGAAAAAGACATTCGCGGTCAGACAAATTATTCAAGAGCTATACAAAAATTTTACGACGCAAGCTCAATAGAAAATTCTTGCATATTAGATTTAATAATTATATACATATTATAAAGGTATGTAATAAATGAATAATAAATGCTTTATAAATATGTTGTAAAGAATTAAATAAATCAAAATTTATAACAAGATTGTGTGTGGAACTTTTTTATGAGTTTAGTGTACTAGAAAAATATTTTCATGGTCACTTAAGTACAGTACTACCTGTGTTTTTTAATTTGCAAAATGTAAGCAATAAATTAATAAACGTTTTTGTTTCATTTAATTAAAATTTTTTTAATTGTTTCCCACAGAAACTGACTAATATCGGCACAAAAAGTCTTTGCCCCTGAGAATTGGTCGACATTGCAGAATGATAACTCGAAAAAAAATCGTACAAATTTAAGACGGAGAAAAAAGAATTGTTGTGGTTACTAAAAATTAAGTCCACACAACAATTCCAGATTGTAAATATAGAACCAGCAGTTCTATTTGTTTTTGGGACAAAAATAATTGTTGAAATGGGATATTGATATTAAAACTATTCGGATTGTTCGGTAAACAAACAGAATTGTTTGATGAACAAAGAAAATTGTTATGGAACAGTTGAAATAACAAAACTAAATTGTTAAATCGGCAATACAATTTGTTGTATTAACAAAACTTTCATCCGTCTAATACAATTTGTTCAGTTTCTTCGCCTTCTAAAATAATCAATAGCAGATTTCCGAATAATATACATTTTGTATTTTTCAAAGTGAGGTTATGTTCAATAGTAACTGAGTATAACTTACCGATAAACGATGAAATTGTCTCTTCATCCATTCACTACACTTGCAATAGAACAACATACATTTTTATTGACAACAATTCGAATTGTAATATTAACATTTCGAATTGTAATATCAACAAATCTACTAACAATCCAATTTTTCTCCGTGTTAAGATAATCAATGAAATAAGTCTTGTTTATCTGCGCGTAAATTGATATATGTAATTCATGTAATGAACATTTTTTTTTTCTAATTTATTAAGTAATTTGCATAAAAATGTCACCTAAAAATTGGACTTTTTAAAATCAATGCACTTTCACCTGTTCCTTCAATAATAATTATACTCATAAAAAATTGTAAATTTTATAGCAAAATTGTCAACTTCTTCCCTATACACAGAAGTTTATTAAACTTAAAAACATTAATCCAATTATCACAGAAAAAAAGGTGGGTAAAAAGTTGTAAAGATAGAGAATAAAAGTCGTTAGGATACAGGGTAAAGGATAAATTTGTGATGGATAAAAATGTTACTAAAATATTACTAGAAAAATGGATGTCATATTTGAGTAAACTGTCTAATTTTAATAAAAATATTAGTAATTTTACACTTAATTTATTAAATCCACAAATTTTATATAAATAAGTAATTGCACGTGGAAATATTTTTCCTATAATTATTGTCTATTAATAAAAATATCTTTGACTAATACAACTGACAGCTGACGACAGTACGTAAATAATCAGAACTGGGAAATTACAACTCAACGTCTGTATTGTTGCACGAAAGCAGAGTTGGGTAGTAACTGAACTTTTTTTGCATATTAGGCTCTGTCACTTGTGACGTCAGAGTCGATTCCAGGTGTGACGTCAGAGGCCTGGAGGGACAACAAACAGATGACACAATGTTATTCTTATGGGGAAGAAAATTTGTTTCCACTTTCATCAATTTTATTCATATTTTGAACATGGAAAACGCTTGTTGACAAATAATAAAATTAAAATGTGTGTTGATAATTAATTTTGTTATATATTTGATTCAATTGCATTGATAGATTCTTGGAATTCGTGATAAAATATAAATATTGAGGTTAGAAAAGTTTGTTTACTATTCAGATTTTACATTTTAACATTATTAAACAATATACAGTATGCATGTTATTAAAAAAGATATAAAATATATATTTTAAGTGGAAATTACCGCAGCAGTAAAAGATTTCAAGTTAGTAAACAAACTTTTCTAAGCTCAATATTTATATTTTATCACGAATTCAGAGAATCTATAAATGCAATTGAATCAAATATATAACAAAATTAATTATCAACACACATTTTAATTTTATTATTTGTCAACAAGCGTTTTCCATGTTCAAAATATGAATAAAATTGATGAAAGTGGAAACAAATTTTCTTCCCCGTAAGAATAATATTCTGTCGTCTGTTTGTTGTCCCTCCAGGCCTCTGACGTCACACATAGAATCGACTCTGACGTCACAAGTGACAGAGCCTAATATGCAAAAAAAGTTCAGTTACTACCCAACTCTGCTTTCGTGCAACAATACAGACGTTGAGTTGTAATTTCCCAGTTTTGATTATTTACGTACTGTCGTCAGCTGTCAGTTGTATTAGTCAAAGATATTTTTATTAATAGACAATAATTATAGGAAAAATATTTCCCTGTGCAATTACTTATTTATATAAAATTTGTGGATTTAATAAATTAAGTGTAAAATTACTAATATTTTTATTAAAATTAGACAGTCTACTCAAATATGACATCCATTTTTCTAGTAATATTTTAGTAATATTTTTATCCATTACAAATTTATCCTTTACCCTGTATCCTAACGACTTTTAACCTCTATCTTTACAACTTTTTACCCATCTTTTTTTCTGTGTAATTGTTTCAGAAATATTAATGTTTAAAAAATAATTGTAAAAAAATTCAATATGGCGTAACTTTTACAATTTTGAAAATTTTCAAAAATCCTTTGGGACTTTTTTTTTTATATCCAATACTACAATTTTACCAAATTATAAACGAATTCAAAGACCCCTTGCAAATCGTGATATTTCTGACGGAGTCTTACTATATCTATATTTTCTATATATCTCGACCTTTCTCATAGTAAGTCGTATTCCCCCTCCCCTTTTTTTTCTTATTGTGTGAGGCATTGCAACCTGGTACACACCGGTCGTCCGTAATCACTGACTAAATAGGTTTTAATAGGAACTCGGGTCTCGCAACCGAATCTCATCATTCTTATACAAGTGACAGGTGAAGAGAGTGTGTAAATTTTTTTTTTTTTAAAGTACAATTTCATTTCTTGAGAACACAGTCAACGGTATCTAATGTATCATCAAAGTATAGAATTTTAATAATCACAAATTACACTCAAATAGGATAATGTTTAAATAGATCTGCTTATACTATATATATATGATAAATTATGTTATGTGTCTAATAGCACGTTCCTTTCTACACAAAGCTAATTTTATTATTTTCTATTTTTCTTCTTGTTTTTATTATAATTTCTTCAATTTTTTTTTGTTGCACACGCAGATGAATCAACTCTGCAGGGTTTGCGGAGAACCGGCTGCCGGCTTCCATTTTGGTGCTTTTACCTGCGAGGGATGTAAGGTAAGAATTTATTTAAATATATATTATATTAAGATCATTAAATTTCACTAATTAATGACTTCCTGGTTTTTTTCTCGTTTTAAGTGCGTTTTTTTTATATCATCAGTCACTTTTAATTATCGAGAATATTCTTAAATGGCTCTCTTCGAGGTTGAAGACGTTGAACTTATTGTAATAAAAACAAAGACCGAAAAAATTAATATTTTTTTTTCATTTCTTATATTTATGTTATTTATTTTTTTAAATAAAACTTGTATTATATAATACTTTATATAATAAGTCCATATAAAAAGTCTCAGGCATGGGAAACATAATCTCTTAACTACATGAGTCAAAAGTAATCGTGTTAAGGTGCTTCTACAACTTGAAATTTGCAAAACTTGTACAGATTGTAAGTTATTGTAAAAGCACCTTTAAAAAACTAGTTTCTTATAAAAGTATTAAATAAAGTAACTAACATTTTATAAAAAGTACTAGAAGTTATTTGCGCATGCGCGGTAGTATTTATAACATTGTTTGCTATAAAATGCAATTTTTGGCACGTTTTTCAAGTAGATTCCACAATAACTTGCTTTTAAATTGCATTGGCTTTGACTAACTGGGTTATGTAAAAATGGTGCGCGCGCAACTTCCGAAATTGTCCGAGAGTTTCACGTTCAGTTATTCGAGAGTTGCGCGCGCATCTATTTAATATACTTAAGTAAGTTAAAGCTAAAGCAATGCAGAAGCAAGTTATTGTGGAATCTCCTTTATGCCTCAAAATTGAGACTTTTTATGAACGTATTATATAAACTTTCTTAAAATTCTTTAAAAAAATTTTCAACTTATGCAAAATTGAATTTTCTTTAAATTTCCACTGCTCTTTTTATATGGTATTTTAACAAAATGTACTTTTTCATCTTCTAATTACAGTCCTTCTTTGGAAGAACCTACAACAACTTGAGCAGTATATCAGAATGCAAAAATGGAGGTGTTTGTGTTATAAACAAAAAAAATCGAACAGCCTGTAAAGCTTGCAGATTAAGAAAATGTCTAATGGTAGGAATGTCCAAATCGGGTTCACGTTATGGCCGTCGTTCAAATTGGTTTAAAATTCATTGTCTCCTACAGGAGCAAGCACATCAGCCACTATCACGTTATAAGGAACAAAAATCCCTTTATGAAAAGCCCTTCTCGTCTCTTGATGCGGCAAATAACAATAATAATAATAATACAACAACATCGAATAATAGTTCAATAATAAACAATTTCCCGGAAAGAATGACAAAACGCGATGAAAGTTCATTGAGGCCACAGGATATACCAGTACTTCGACAATCGGACATTCCAACTAGACCTCAGGAGATGTTGAGGCCACCATCGGATCTTGTGAGACCTCACGAGTTACTTAGGCCGGAAGCAGCAAGATTTCCAATGTGGCGTGGACCTCCTTTGTTTCATCCAGCTCTCAATCACATGCAATTGTTGAACACACCCTTCTTTTTGCAACAACGATTTATAGTGCCTTATGTGAATCAAGTGGGTGCAGCACAAGCTGCAACTAGTTTATCGAGTTCCTCCAGTGACAGCATTAGTTCGAGGACCACTCCATCTCCCAAGCATGAGGTGGAAGAGGAAGAAGAAGAAGAGGAGGATGATGACGAGACGGCTAATAATGAAAATAAAGACACCAATAATGGAGAAAATAATAGTAGACAGGAAATATCATATGACAAAAGTATTGCTTTTCTTCGATCATTAGGTCCCGAGCAAGAAGAACCAATTGATTTGAGTTTTAAAAGTCATCAAAAAGACATTGAATCACATCATCTTGTTCTCAGTGATGAGGAAAGATCGTCCGAAAGTGAGGATAATGACATGGAACTTGAACCAGAAACTGGTCCACCACTTGATCTCACTCGGAAAACTTGACCTTAAACGATTAATTGCGAAAAATTTTGTTTTCTAGACACTTTTTTTCTTCTTCCGTGAAGTGCCTTTTTCTGCAAATTTTGTGCCTTCTTTTTTTTGTCGTGAAGAAACAAAAAAAAATATATATATGCGAGTGATATCGTATATTACTATTTTGGGAGAATAGTGACAAATACTTTTTAGAACTTTTTAGAAACGAAGAAAATTGCTCAAACCTTCAGATATGTAGTTGGCAAAAAAATTGTTTTTTTTTTTGAAAGGGATTAACTCTGATATATATATATATTTTTAAAACTTATATACAACGAACAATTTTGCATGATTTTTTTATTACATAGTGTGAAAAAAATATCATCGCGCGTGCAATTTCGAACGGTGCCTTTTAAAAAGATTCTTGTACCGCAGTGCCAGTAAAAAAAAATTCGTGATTTATTTGTTTGTGAGTATTTCTATATACATATATACTTTCATAGAAAAAGTGAAATTATATAAATGTTAAAAAATCACGATAATAGTGTAAATATTTATATATATACAATATATATATATATATACATAATATATGCTGATGCGATTTATCAGCAACAACCAAGGCCAGTCTTGCAATAATTTTGTCTATTTTCATTTTTCTTTTTTTCATTTTTTTTTTTTTTTTTTATTAAGTTGACAAAACGTTCAATGGAGGTCTTCTTCTTGTAAAATTCATTGATTCTTTAGGTTGGTTTCCATTGTCCTCACTCTCCATTTGTCATAATTCTCGTCAACTACCGCACCCTGCTCTAGTGAAAATTTAGTAACTTTTAATTTTTACTAGAGCTTTTAAAAAAAATTTTAATGTTAAAATTAAAAGTTACTATAAAGTTACTAAATTTTCACTGGAGCAGGGTGCGGTAGTTGAGGAGAATTATGACAAATGGAGAGTAGGGACAATGGAAACCAACCCTTTAGAAATTAGAAATTTTATATGCTTGTGCATATAAAACAAAATCTTGAACATGACAATATAATATAATTATATTTTTGAAATTTCAACGCGTTGGTGAAGTTATAATCTACGATTGTAAAAAAAAATTTTTTGCCTACAAATTATTTTTTCTTAAAAATTGTTAATCGAGAAACGTTATAAAAATTTTTTTCAACAAAAAATTATAATTATTTTGCATAGAAGAATATTTTTTCTTCTAAATCATTGATTATAAACGTTGAGAACTTTACCGACGTGACAATCATTAAAAATTTCTGTAAATTTATTATTTGTAAGTAAATTTACGATTTTTCTTTTTTATATAAAATATATGAAAGTATTTATTTATATAAAGTATTTGATATTTAAATATTTAAAGATATTTATATATAAATTTTTTTTTTAAAACTTGAAAATATACTTATTTTTTGTTTATTATATTATTTTAAATTCATGTTTCAATTGAATGCAAATATTATATTAAAATAAAATGTTCTAAATTACTCTCAAAATTTAATTCAGTGAGAGTTTACTAATGAAATTTGTTTAGTGTAAATAAAACTAGAATAAAAAATGACGTTTTTGTGATTTTTTAATTGAAAACTACATAAAAAAATTTGAGGGTCCAGTTTTATTATTGTTTCAAACAATCAAATCTGCTTTACCGATTACCGTTAAACCAGAATTATCACGGATTTAGAAAGAAAATCTGTTTTACCGATTGATGATAAAACAGAACAATCACTGATTTAATTAGACGAATCTGTTTTATCTATTGTTACTAAAACAGAATATTTACTGATTTAGTCTAATATGTTTTTACCGATTTTCGATGAAATAGATTTTATTGTTTAAATTTGTAACAATTGTACTTTTCAGTTGCTAAATTTCAATTATTTCATAAGTAAAATCTTACTAATTAAAAATTAACTGAGTATTGAATTAAAATTTTATACGATTTGTTTTAGAAGAACTTTAAAAAAGTTTTCTTTCCTATAATTTCATGAGTCAAATCTGTTTTACCGATTATCGTTAAAAACATAATCATCAAGGATTAAAAAAAAAAAACTTTACTGATTTTCAGTGAAAATTATTACCAAATTTTAGTGAAAATCTTACTGAAATACTTTTCAATTGCTAAATTTCGATTATTTCATCAGTAAAATTTCACTAATTAAAAATTAAGTGAGTGACTGCATTGAAATTATATACGATTTGTTTTGGAAGAACTTTTAAAAAAGTTTTATTTCCATAGTTTTTCTTGTCAACATTATTTATTAATGCAGCAAATTATATAATTAATTTGAGCATTTTCGGAAAAATAATTTTATTTTCTTGCATAATTTTGGTTTATAAAAGAACTTTATCTGAATTGCATATAAAATACACCCTCCAATGAACGTTTGAGTAATGTATGGATTTTGAGATCTATTATAAATAAAATGTGCGTTCACAAATATGGGCCAGTACAAAGATTATAATGAGAAAATAAATTAAACCCGAAAGATGTGATTTCATGATGCCAGCTGATTTGTAAATATTGATAAAGTGGTTGACAATTTACATTTAATAAATATGGTGTATCTTATTTGACTTTTTTTCCTTTTTCTTTTAACAATAATTCCCTATAATAATATGCATTTTTTTTTATAAGTTTCAGTAATAAAAATATTTATATTAATTTACAGTTTTTCAACTATAATTTTTTTTTTTATATAATTAATAAATATATTCATCCTTTAGTTAAGAATATAATATTTTGTATATGTATATAAATATTTTATCTTGTAAATTTATTAGTCTTTCTTGTACATTGATATAGGACAGTGAATAATTTTAAACCAATCGTTTTTAACGAGCGCGTACGAATAAATTATATTGGAAACATTTATTTCTTTTCATTTAAGTCCTTAAGACTTCTTTTTTTTTATAATGTAAGTCATATTTTAAAAGATTTATAATTTTCAAGCTTTGACTTTAAGAGCGTATATCAGAAAATGGGGATAATTAAATTGAAATCGACCAAAAAAAAAGGGACATGATGAAAGATTTTCTGCATTGTAACACATCCTCTATTATATAAAAGATACATTTCAATGATAAAAGTTATATTCTATTGCAAAATATATTAACTATGAACTGGGAGTTATAATTCTATCATGAATAATCATCACCTTTCTCTCATTTTCTTGAATATGACCTTGTCAAGAACAATTGTGAATAAATTAAATCAAGTTTCACCCCCGCTGATAAACTATTAGATTCTGATAAAAGAATACGTTCGTTTCACTTGCCATTTGAAGAAACATTTATCAAGGATTCACTGTCGACCATTTGATACGTATCTGTTTATATATTTTTTTTCAATCTTAAGTAGTATCTCTCAATGCGCCTTGTTTTAAGATAATTGTATTTATGTGTATATATATATATACAAAAGGAGAATAATTGAATTACGCACACCTTGACATTTATACACAGTCTCTTTCCGATGGAACACGTTCAATAATAATTGTTTGCATCGAGAGACACATCTTCGTGTGCGCAAAGAGCGGATCTTCTTACCAGTCGTTATGTTTTTATCTCCGACAGCAATTAGAAGATGATTTTCTCGTTACAATATATGCAAAACTAGTTCGTGACGCAGACATATACTTGACTAGTTCTTCAAGACCTCCTTCGTATAATAAATTGCTCGTAATTTAGAAAAGGAAATCATTCAGGGATTTGTACGACAATAAATTTTCTTTAGATGTCTCAGTTTTTTCATCTCTACGAATGAAGGACATGAAAATATTGCACGTTTATTTTATACTGTATATATATATACGTTTTATATTATATATATATATATACATATATATATACTGGGGATCGTTGTCTAAATAGAAATTAACAATATATATTTCAGTTGTAAAATAGTAAAAAGGTATTGGGATCTGAAATCATAGGGAATTATGGGGAAACTGACCCCGTTGCGTCAGCCATCTTGATTTTTTATCTCTTTCTTCTACTATTTTAAAAAGGATGAAACGAAAAATGGCTTACCTGCATTATCTTCTGTTTTTTTGAATAATTTATTTAATTATTTTTTTTACTTTCTTTTCTTTTCATACTTTATTTTACTTTTAAATAAGTAGAGGAATAGTGTCAGGGTTGGGCACAGTTTTGGTTTTTTGTTTATAAATATTTTGTTTAGATAAATTCAGTCAATTGTGGTATATGGGTGGAAAGATCTACAAAAGAGGAACACTTTTGCTGTGGACCCTAAATTGATTGGTCCAATATTAAAAAAGTTATAAACATTTAAAAAAAAAAATCTAGTCAGGGTTGGACTTTTCAGTCAGGGTTGGACACTTTTTGAAAATCGAAACGCATTATTGGTAAAAACGTAAAATAACATTTGTAATGTTTTTTATTCTTATTTTTTCATTTTTATCTTTACTTATTCCCAAGAAGCACGTAATATATCCTCAATATCAAGGTAATATTACACGTGAGATTCGTAATATAACGCTGTAATATTACAGTAATCTTACAGTGATCTTAAAATGTCCGCCTCAAGGTAATATTACCGGGAATGTTACTGTAATATTAACGGTAATATTACAGTAATATTACAGTAATATTACAGACTGATTTGAGTTATTCATAAAGCATAAAAAACGTAAATATATTATAAGTCAATTTGGCTTGTTGGTAAAACTCTGGACTCGTGTGCTTTGAGTTCGGGGTTCGATTCCCTGGATGGGTAGATTTTTTTCGTAAAGAAATGTTCCCATAATATTACTGTAATATTCTCTTGTAATATTACCTTAATATTACGGTATAATATGACTGCAATATTACCTTAATATTAGCGCGTAATATTACAGTAACATTACCGGTAATATTACCTTGAGGCGGATATTTTAAGATCACTGTAAGATTACTGTAATATTACTACGTTATATTACGAATCTTACATGTAATATTACCTTGATATTGAGGTTATATTACGTGCTTCTTGGGTTGTTTACAAATTGTAAAGCTTCATGGGTTTACAAAAGGAATGAACTCAAATAACAAAAAAAATAACGCTTTATTGTTCCAAATAATTCAATGAAATGATGAACAAAATTTATACAATTTAATTATTATTTTTCTAATACCTTTGGCACAATTTTGCACTGAAATATCAATAAAATAAAATTTATTTGTATATTTATTTACAAATTGTGTCAAATTCATAATTAATATGGGTGTCCAACCCTAACTAGAAGCATCATTTTCGAATTGTGCTAACCATAACCAGACATGTGTCACGATTCGATTTTTCACTTTTTTTCTTCTTAAATTATGTAGGTACCCCACAATACATTCAATAAGCTTACCTTGCCGAATTCTTGCTTTTTTCCATGAAGTAGGATAAGGAGAGGTAACGGCGTATATTCATTGGCCCTCAGATAGACGGACCACAGTAGTAGGCTTTCTTTTTTCCTAATGTCGCGAGCGCTCCTTTGGGGAAAGCGAAGAATTAAAATTTATCGTCAGCAACATGGCTGCAAGTCAGCTGTTTACAGAAAATGTAAATACTTTAATATTAAAGGGTAATTTAATTTTATATTTTGCAGCAGTAATTTTTCCATTCGTAGAAGCAAATCACGTTAAAGAAAAACAGCAATGGACCAAATCAAAGGAATATGTACATTTGAAGAGTACAAAAGCTGCTTACAGGAGATAAAAATGCCTTCAGACAAGTGGTGCTTTGTAAAAGGTTCTGAACGTTACTTTGGTTTTCTAAAAGTAGAAAATTTAAATGTAACAAAGAAATTAATAATATTAAGTGATTTAAGTGTCAAAATTGTTATTGGTGATAGAGTTAGTTTGTTATCGAAATTTATAAAAATTTCAAGTGTTGATGAACTGATAAGTCTTTTAGAAAGTGTGGACGAAATGTAATTAATTATTCAATTTTGAATAAGTTATTGTAATTTAATTAATTTAATTAATTATAGATTATATATATATATATATATATATATTTATTTATTTATTTTAATTTTTTATTCAATTGTGTATATTAATAAAATATTCTTGATTAAATTAGAAATTGTCATTATTGATTCAAATCTTCGAATAGCCTCTGACCATGTTGCTAACATTTTCTATCGAAATAAGAAATATAATTAACATTATTTATTATTTACATAATAATATCATGAGTAATAAAAAAATAATAAACAATTTCATTCTACTTACCATGGAAGGTTTAAAAAAACTTCGAACACAACCATCTCTTTTTATTTGGGTTTTCGAACCCGAATCGCAATGCTTTATAAAACAACTCTTCATTTTTCAAAACACTAACACATTACTGAAATACTTCATGTGTAAAACAAACGACTGAATTTTAACAACAAAAACACCATGTGAAACATTCAGGTTATGTTTCTCTTTTCGCGGTAGGTCACGTGATAAAATATAATTCAAATATTTCCCACCGCAAGCGCTGTCAACAGTAGGAAAATAGAAAGTCGTACTACTGTGGTCCCCCCTATATGGTGTCAAGTTTTCTAGCGATTGGCTACAGGCGTTACCTCTCCTTATCCTACTTCATGCTTTTTTCATACATTTTTTAGGTTTATTCACAAGTCAAACAAAACTTTTTTTGTCTCTTCGATTGCACCGAAGTCACAGGAGACGCTACTTTTGATTCTCCAAAAATGTAATGCCACAAAAAGTTAGGTTACACTACTAGAAGATTCGTTACGTACGTACACAGGTGGCGCTAGTATTCTTATTTAAAAAAAAGCCAAGTGTCCAACCCTGACACTATTCCCCTACGTTCATGAAGTTGGCGTTGACGCTCAGCGTCGAAAATTATTTTTCACGGGACCAAAAATATCAAATCATTTTTAAAAAAGTTTTAGGTTTACATAATACCTTAAAAAGTATTTTTCAAGGTATTATTTGGACCGAAAATCTTAAAAAAAAATAATTTGACATTTTTGGTCCTGTGAAAAATAATTTTTGGCGCTGAGCGTCGACATCAACTTTATGAAGGTAAATAATAGTGTAAAAATCACTGATTTCAAATTCAGCGATTCTCATTAAAAATTACTGTTCGAAAACAATGAAATGTGAGTTATTACTGAATTGAAATAATTATATGAATCTTTTTTGTTTTTTATTTCTTTTTTTTCCATTTTATTGAACTAATAAATAAATGTAGATTTTTTTTAAACGTTTGCTAAAAACATATTCTTGAATTAAAAAGAAATTTCTTTGAATTTTTTGTTTATAAAATAAAAATATGTATCCAATATTTTTCACGACGATAGAAAATTCATGGAAATAAAAAATAATGATCGTAAAAGAAAGTTTTGAATAATAATAGTAATGTAAAATATACAAGAAATATTATTAATTAGATATATCATTTTTTTTTATTAAAATGACGATTTATAAATATAAACATAACCTAAAAAATTTTGTTTAACGTCTCTTGTACCGTGATGAAATGAATTGGCAACAATGCCATATATCTAGCTTGATTAATTGTTGAATTCACTTTCAATTAATTAGTTATTATTTTTATAAATTGAC